AAAAAAAAAAAAAAAAAAACAACGGGGAGGGGATTTAGCAACGAGAAGAAGGCACGGCAAAAGGAGTGGGCGATTAGCACCCAAACCGGGCAAGGGCACGTTGCCTGTCTGCTGACATCCTGACCCTTGCACTGCTGGCCTTGAGGCCGCATGGGAAACGCCTGGGTCCGATGGCACGGTCACCCAGCAGGCTGTCATCGAGCCATTCCGTTCCTGTACAGACAGCTTAGGAAATGTGTGATGATCAGAGTTTTAGGCCCCTGGGAGTAGGGAGGGGGTGGGTCTCCACTGGTGTCTTCCCTTCTCCCTTTACACCTCTCCACGTCCGTGGTCTCTTCAACTCTTGGGTGATGGGATGACCCACCCTGCAGGCGTTCCGGGGCCCTTCCTGTCGTTTCCGCCAACACCGATTAGAGGCTTCTGCGCCAGCGCTCAGGCACACGTCTTTTGCCTTCTCCTTCACCTTCTGTGCCCCCTTGAACAGCCCTTGGGATTGACCAAGGTGCCGGAGGAGTCTGCACGTGCAGGCAAACAGGCCTGCACCTCTCACCGGGCCTCTGATCTTTCGGATCTGCGTGATCTGGCATCAGAGCAAAAGCTTTTTGGGGCAGCTGAGTTTTCATGTTCGCAAAGGACCGTAAAACCCATCTTGCTTAAGAGCTGCTTTCCTGTGGTGATCTTACTAGCACAAGACTCCCAGGCCTGGAGAAAGGCTACCTCAAAAGCACCTCCTCAAAGAGGAGAGGCCTGTGGGTTCAGCCAGGTAATTGTAGCATTAAAAAACTACATACCATCTGGTGGAGGTGGGGACTGTGAACCCCCTCTTTGGTGATACTGAAAAGCAAGGAGGCCTGAGTGGAAGCAAGCGGTGTTCTTGGACTCCTGGTCGGTCTCTTGGTCCCCTCCTGCCTTCCTGACCCCTTCTCTCTTCCCGCCAGGGGTCGCCGTGGCCCTGAAACAAGCCATGACTCCGGAATTCCGGGTGTACCAGCGCCAGGTGGTGGCCAACTGCAGGGCTCTGGCTGAGACCTTGATGGAGCTGGGCTACAAAGTGGTAACAGGTACCAACAGAAAGTGCTGGATGGCCCCCCCACCGACCCCGGGACGGGGATGCCCCTGCTCCTTGGGGTGGCACTTTAAACCTCGCACCTAGGCCTGGGCGCTGCAGCCACGGCTGTGCATCATCTGTCACTGGCATGTGATGCGACGGGTCCTCAGGAGACCTTTGTGAAAGGCCTACCTGAGGCTCGACTGGGAAAGGTTTGGTACCAGTGGTCACACGGCTGGTGGAAGGCACAGTCACAGCTTGGAACACAGCAGGCTCCCAGAGCAGTCTCCCCGGCGATGCCCCACGCCATCCCATGGGGGTGTCTCCACTCACCCCTGAGGGCCCGGGTACAACAGGCGTTCCCAGTAGGAGTTCATGGCAGTATTATATCCATGTCTGCTTGAATACAAAAGCTGGTGGTGCTGAGTAAACCCCCATGAGATGGACCTTCCGGGTGAGGGCCCGCTTGGGGGGGTGCGGTCGCTTCTTTCACCGCGGGTTTCACGGCTAGGATGGCATTTTTCTGGCAGACTTCTGCTCACAAGGCCGCTGTGGATGCTGCCAGTGGGGTGGACTAGGGAAGCGGGTCCTGGTAGGCCACTGACTCAGGTGCCTACTCCCTGCCCGCGGCCCTTTACGGGGATTTCAGGCCCCGGCCTGAGGAGTGGGCTCCCCACCAGACTACTCGTGAGCAGCAGAGCTGGGACAAACGCTGTCTCCTCAGCAGGTCTCGGGAGCACCCGTTTTCCGTTTCACTTCACTTCCTCTTCCCTTTCTTTCTCCTTCATCCTCTGCCTCTTTCAGTTAGAAAGCCCTAGAAATCTCAGTGTGGGCTGTGACCTTCAGGGTCCCTTAGGTCACTCTGTCAGACATGGATGTGCACACCAATACCGCAGGCACCCTGTTAACATGCAGGTTGTGAAGGGGCGCCTGGGTGGCTCAGTTGGTTAAGCGTCCGACTTCGGCTCAGGTCATGATCTCGCGGTTCGTGGGTTCGAGCCCTGTGTCGGGCTCTGTGCTGACCTCTCAGAGCCTGGAACCTGCTTCGGATGCTGTGTGTGTCTCTCTCTCTCTCTGCTCCTCCCCTGCTCCCTCTCTGTCTCTCAAAAATGAATAAACTTAAAAAAAATTTTTAAAAGATACAGCTTGTGACTCAGCAGGTCTAGGTTGGTTGGGGGTGGGGGGGTGTCCTGCATTTCCATCCAGCTGGCGTGGAACACACACTTGGCACTACAAGGAGTTAGACCAATGTCCCTGTGGCTACAGACAGCAGACGGCAGCCCCTTAGCCCAGCGAGGCCCAAAGTCTCACGTCAATCTCGGGAGAGGTCTCCACTTTCCTGAGCTCCCAGGCCTGCCTTCACCCCCAGTTCACTCTCCTCTGAGGACATGGTGTAGATGGCCGAAGCAGATCGTGGCGACCGTAAGCCCAGGAGCCAGCGTTCGTGATAATCTGCTTTGTGCCTGGTATGGGCAAAGTGCCATACGTGGCACCTTATTTAAACTTCGCGACAGCCTCGTGAATCATTGCTCTTATTTTGCAAATGGGTGTCTGAGGTCCCCAGATGCTGAGCTGCCTAAAGCCACAGCAAGCGTGGGGGCGTGGCTTAATCTCTGGACTGTGGGATCCCGCACCTTTGAAGTCATTGCTGTTGTCCAAGTGAAGGGCCCGGGATTAATGAGATTTCAAAGTGGAAAGATCCAGGTGCTTGGAAGAGCCCTGGTGGCCTTGGTCCAGTTCCAGAAAGTTCTAGTGGCCTTGATATCCTCATGTGTTGGGTCAGGGCGCTGGGCAGCCTAAGCTGGGAAAGCTACCGTTGGTTCCCCTCGGGCTCAAGGACCTGCTCCCAGTCACCAGGTACCCTTTGTAAACTATCACCTCTTAGGTCCTGGGGCATCTTTTGTTTAGCATGGGACTAAAGTCTCTCAGGACACGTGGTGGGGGTGCTCACCTTCCTCATCACATCTGCTTTAGCCTCCTTGATCCGTACCCTCATTTCTTAGGAAGAGAGATTCCTTCACTTGGGAGTCAGCTTTCCACATTCCTACATGTCCAACTTGGTTTCCAGGTGGTTCTGACAACCATTTGATCCTCGTGGATCTCCGTTCCAAAGGCACGGATGGTGGCAGGGCCGAGAAGGTACTAGAAGCCTGCTCTATAGCCTGCAACAAGAACACCTGTCCAGGTAAGAATCTTTGCTGGTCTTCTCTTCTGTACCACTCCTGTCTTAGATTTCTTTTGGCCAGAGTTGTAGCCGAGGATAGTTTGGCTCTGGGGACAGACATCAAGGGATTTTCAAGGGGCACATACACCGTATGACATGGGGCTAAATCCTGGCTCTCTTCTGGCCTGCTCCTTCTGACACAGCTCTAACCCTGCTAGGCACAGAGGGGGAGGGACTGAGGTGGACTGCTCGGAGGGGCTACAGGCATTTGGAGAAGGGAAGCAGGGGCCTCTGGAACAGGCTGGGTTTCTCAGGGGGTTGTAAAAAGAATGTGGGTGATGCATCCCTGACTCACAAGGATGCTAGCCTCCCTTTTGGGAGGTCATGCCACTGAAGGCAACCTCCTTGCTGTTTCATCACAGTGGCCACAATGTGCGGCCATCTCCTGTGCCTTTGTGCCCACCTCTGGCATTTAAATCAGCAGCGCTCTGCTTCCGAGATACAGTGGGCACTCACAGGCCAGTTTTTTGGCCAGCTGTCTTCTTAAATGCACAGGGGTCAGTGGGGAGTTGGGTGCAGCCAAAGGACAGAGCCCGTTTGTCTTGAAGGTGACAAAAGCGCACTGCGGCCCAGCGGACTGCGTCTGGGGACTCCGGCACTGACATCCCGCGGATTTTTGGAAAAAGAGTTCCAAAAAGTGGCCCAGTTTATTCACAGAGGTAAGGAGAAAGGGTTGGAGGTTTGCCACTTTAGACTGTGTGTGTGTGTGTGTGTGTGTGTGTGTGTAGTTTCTGATTGTGGCTGAGCAGGGCTGAGCGCTGGGGACGAGAGACGGCAAAGATCACTTTAGCAGCCCATCTAGTCTGAGAGGCTTGTAACTTGTCCTGCCCAAGGAAGGGGGCCACATGAGAATCCTTTCCGAGGGGGACGTGAACACCTAAGGCTGTCACGCCCCCGGGCCTCGGGAGTGTCTCCCGGGCCCAGTGGGGCTGCCGCACTGGCACTGTGAGCCCACAGGGGACCCATTCTGTCTCTTGCGGGCGCAGGGATAGAACTGACTCTGCAGATTCAGGACGACGTTGGTGCCAGAGCCACCCTGAAGGAGTTCAAGGAGAAACTGGCCGGGGACGAGAAGCACCAAAGGGCCATCAGGGCTCTCAGGGAGGAAGTGGAGAGCTTCGCGGCTCTCTTCCCTCTGCCTGGCCTGCCTGCCTTTTAGAGGAGCTGCCAGCCCCCACCTGCCCGTGGGCACCTGCCCAGCACCCGACTGTCGGGACTGCACAGGGACCGCTTGCTCGAGGACCTGGTGCCCTCGTGGGGAGACAGGAGAGCTGCGCCACACAGGACCAGGCTGGGTCAACTTCATGCCCTCTGAGGGGGTTTCTTTTGGACTTTCCTCACATTATCTCCAGAAATCAAAATTTGTTTAAGACCCATTGTTAGTAATTCTGGGACAGGTTATTGAGGAGTTTAAATTTGATCCTTTCTCTCAGTTCTTCTGGAAAATTGCAATTATTTAGCTTGGGTCCAGGGCAGATGAGTGGAAAGACCCCAGTAGTTGCACTCGCCCTTCTCTGAGTTCCCGGGCTTCCTCCAGACTCTGCAGTACAGAAACACCCAAGTTCGGAGCTTCTAAAAGCTGCCTCTTCTTAATGTCTTGTTACGCGGCGGGCTGCTGCAGCACTGACTGATGACCGTTACAAATGAGAAGGCGAATCCTGAAGCTAGGTCCGGACTACCAGTATGGTGGGAGTTTCTCCGTGGCACTCAGGGTGTCATGGAAACGGTCTCGTTCGCCCCCCACCCCCGGAGGGTACCAGGGCCCATCAGGTGTAAGCACTGGCTGAGGAGAGATGGCTTTCCTTCCCTGTGCCAGATAACCAACTCCCCCCTGTAATCAGGAGACCAAGCGTCACCTTCCCAGAGAAACTTTATTTTTCACAGAGCCAAAGTGCAAAACATAGATGACCATTTTGAATAAGCACAATCGAATGTGTAACCACAGAATGTCTACAAGAATCATAAGAGCTTTAAAAAATACAACCAATTTTTATATTTCAAAAATATCTGAACTCAAATAAATTAATTTCTTAAAAAGTACACTTCTCATACTATTTGTTTGGCATTTACTCCGGTTAAACTCTGGTGCGGCCAGACCCAAGAGCCGGCGTCACACGCGTGTTTGAAGTACTCGCGTGGTGACGACCACAGCTCACGTGGTGGTAGAGGACTCACGTTCACACGTGTGGACAGAGGGACATGCGGTAATAGCTTTCCCAAAATAACAAACACGAATTCATCACAGACTATGCTTTTCACCGTAGTCTTCAAAGGTGGCGCTTATATTAACCCAACCTGTGTAGCCAGCCAGCGTGGGGCAGTCGGTGGGTCCTGCCCGGAAGGCGCCCCTGGGGTCGAGGGTCCAGCACGTTACTGGCATCTATACCAGCACAGGTGGGGACAACGGCCACAGACTCCACAGGGTGTGGGTGACACAGCAGTCCCCATATCTCTGCCTCAGTTTGGGAGCCATCATGCTGCCGGGACAGTCTTCCGTTCGGGGGCCTGGCTCCTCCCCCGGCCAGGGCATCTCCAAGACCCTCCTGTGTAGCCTCCACTTTGGAGCTAGATAAGGACTCCCAGGAGGCGTGGGCTCCACACCAGTGGCTTAATTCACTGCAAAGTGCTCGTTCCCCCCCCCCCCCATCCCTCCTCCTCCCCGCTATGGTCATACCAAACCTGAACAGAGGAGGCTAGATTAGGTCAGTGCTCACAGCGTTCTCCTTTGGGAGCTCAGGAAAACTTGGTGTCTCAGGCCCTATCAGCTGAGACTGGTTTTATTTCCGGCCAGAAGTAGCAATTTGATGCTTTCTCCTTTTTGCAGTCTGCTAATACTGTACCTCTTTTAAAGATTCCAGTTTTGTCACTTTCTGTCACAGTACTGGGGAAAAGCCAGAAAGCCAGTGGGTTTGCTTCTAAAGCACAAACCAAGGCACTTTCTTCCGAGCTTTCTAGGGAGATGGGAAGTAAAACCGGATTGCTGGCTTGGGAGATCAGCTCCTCGGAAGATCGTCCACACTCCCCGACGGGTTCCCTGCCGGCTGAGTGTTACCGCAGAGGAGAAGCTGACCTGCCTTGCAACAGCAGGTCCGGGGAGGTCGGGACATGCGTCTCGCACTGGCGGAAGTGGGTGGTCACCGTGCGTGCCGCTCCCAGCCTCCAGAAACATGTCGTTGAACTGTAGCAGCCCTGGCACTTGGGGTAGAAACTGTTGGACTTCCTAGGATTTGAGCTGGGATATGTCATTTGAGGTTGAAACCTACAATACCTTGACTATAGCAACGGAGAAGCAAAAAGCTAGATGGGAAATGACAGGTGGGCTGTCGCGGTTCATTTCCAAATTCCAGCGCAATCTGTGTAACTTCAGCCCTTGCAAGTTAATCATGGAAAAGTCACAATTTCTAACACCCCAAGATTCCACCGAATGGAGCAAGGTCCCTAGGGAAATGGTGAGGTGTGAGGCAACAGCTCAGGCTGGAGCGTCCCAAGGGCCACACGTGGGCCTCTAGAAACCACGACTGCGTAACTGCTAACCTTATCAGGCTGCTCTCAACCTGGACTGCTTGAGAAAGGGTGGCTGGGGGCAGGGGAGCGGTAACGGATTGGAAGTGAAGTTGAAATAAACCCAGTTTTGGTGCCTGGGCCTTCAAAATGAGTCAGGACTGACAAAGTCAAGGGGCACGGATGGCCTCTGTTCTCTGCAAAGTGTTTTCAAGATGTTTTATCTGAGGCAAACCTGAAACGAATATTTTTAAAGAGACAGCCCTGTCGCATAGAGCTCCCAGCCTTAAAATTTGCAGACGCGGGACTTCTAGCGGGTTCTGCTTCTCCAAAGTGGAGGGGATCTGAGAAGGGCAGTCCCACAGTCTCAAGTGCCTGCCCACACTGGCTCAGTCCCTCGGCCACTTTAAAATCCCTTTGGAAAGAAACATTCTTGGCATCAAGCAATCCTCGGAAACTGCCACACTGAAAAGCTAGGTTTTTACCAAAATGTAAAACTGGAGTCTAACTACTTGTCAGGGAAGCCAGCTTTCTTTCACGGAGGAACGACTCAAGGGAGACGCTCCTCACCCACTCTTTCTGAGGCTGGCCCCAGGACAGGGCACACCCGTTCTGTTCACACCCGACTGGTCTCTTGCCTCAGAATCCTGGGGCCTCTGGAACCATCCTCGAGGCAGAGCTTCCAAGCAAACACCCTCCAAAGTGACTTCTACTTCAGACTACCGTGTTGCCTGGCCTTAGCTTCTAGAAGGCCAGGTGTGACTGACCTTCTGCCTTGATCAGTTTCCCAGGTGACAGCAATGTTAACTGTAGAGTCCGTGATGCTGTGGAACAGGATGAAAAGCAATGGTGGTGCCAACGATCGCTTTCAACTTTGTCAAACGGACCCCACAGACCCTTCTTTCCCTTGGAGATAAAGTGTCGTAAGGTCATGTCCCTGGAGGCCTGAGTAGACAGCAGTGAGCCACCCAGTTAGAAAACAGAGCAGCATCTTGAACACGAGGGACACGGGAGGCGGCAACGAAGAGGGGAGCCCATGGAGAGAAACAGGCATCCTACGCAGCCTTCCCCACATGCAAACACACGCTTGACATTTAAAAGCTGCCAAAACATTCCTGGCGACTCTTCTGTGCGTGAACAAAGTAACAGGCACGGGTACAAAGAACACCCGTGAGATGTAGACAGACCGTCTACCTTAAAAGGTCCTCAGTCCCAGCCTCGGGAGCGAAATCACACACCCTCTGCCAGGAACGTGGACCCTGACCGGAAGCCGGCGGCCAGGAGCCAACGGGCCACATCCTTGTGTGGAGGACCCGGGCGAGGAAGGGGCCACGGGAGGGATGTGACGCAAACCCCCCTTGGGTTCCCGCCTCCGCTACCTGACCTCGACGGTAGGCCACAAAGCTGACAGACCAGTCTCGACAGCAAGACCCCAACTACCTGGAACACGGCACCGGCAGGTGCACACACGTGTGCTCAGGAGCAACCGCCCGTGGCTGGTTCGGGTCTGTTTTATCACAATTTTCTTGGAACGAATTAAAAAGCAGAAATATTAAGAGTTCTTCCTAGTTGGAGAAAAAAAAAAAAGCAGCCATACAAAAAAAAAAAAAAA